GGCACGGCTGTGCCCGGGATGTGTGTGGGGAGATGCAGTTGGATCGGGGCTGGCCCCCACCCTCGCCTTCCTTCCCACGCTCCCCTTTGTGCAGATGGGGAAACTGAGGCACAGGGCAACGAGTCCCATTGCACGCCCCCCCAAATTACGACTCAGAGAAGGGCCGTGACCGAGGCCATGGATAAGACCAGTGGCAGGGCTCAAGTCTGCATTTAGACCCAGCCTAGAGTCAAACCTCCACGACACCACACTCTCCTGCCCCATCGATTTTTTTTGGGGGGGGGATTTGGTCAGTATGGCAACACCTGAGGGTTTCGGCCGCTTTGGGGAAGCTGTCCTCCTGTACCTTTGGTAGAGCTTTTCGCCTCCTCTTCTCTCCCCTTGCCCCCTTCGCCTTCACAGCCCGAACATGCTGGACACCATCAGCAGCCAGTACGATTCCTTCATCTACTGGAGGATGCCGATCCCGCGGCTGGACGTGGCGGAGCTGGAGGGGCTGGGGCTCAGCGACGTGGCCCTCTACAAACCCAAAGGAGGGCTGGGCAAGCTCGCCAGCGAGCGGGATCAGGTCAGCCAGGACATCTCCGACGAAGAGGACGGCCTGCTGCAGTTCAACAGCTTTAATTTCTGGAGAGCTCCTATCGCCAGCATTAGCTCGTTAGATTTTGATCTAATTTGAAGCCCTCCTTTCTGCCCTCCTCACCCCCCTGCCCTCTCCCTCTCTGCTAGGCATGCAAGGATTTGGTTTTGTTGTTGGTTTGGAGGTTGTTTTTTTTGCTTCCGGGCAGTTTTTGACATTGTTAATTAACTCAGCAGTTCACCCCAGCCCTGGTGGTGGTGGGCTCCCCACAAAACTTCAACCTCTCTCCACCTTCTCCCTCTTTTCTTCCTTTCTTGCAGTAGCGCTGGAAACACCACGACGGTGCAAGGAGGGGGTAACAGCACAGGGGGCAAATACGAGGGGAGGGGGCAGAAACAGCCACCCCATTGCCCCACATCCACATGCCAGCGGGTGCGGGAGGTGCTGGGAGGTTTCTGCCACCACCCCGCACCCTGCGGCTGTGTGACCGTGGGCGTCCCCGTGCTCTGGGACGAGTGTTTGAGCTCATTTCTCATGTGCTTTTTTAAGAAGCTCATTTGTGCAAAGGGAGCAGCGCAGGACTGATGGGAATCCTCTTCGTTTTGCAGAAAGCATCGTCCCCGCTCCTCTCCCAGGGATGCAGAGACCCTCTGCGCTCCCCTGGCCCAGTTTCTCCAAAAGCTGCTTCGCTCCTTAACCTTCCCTTCGGGATAATCAAGGTGAAAGAGGCAGGGATGTGCTCGGAACACGAGCACAAACCTCTTTCTTGAAAGAAATAATCTCTTTGAGCCTTGTGGCTTGAGCCCAAGCAGGAGAAATGATGGCCAGGAGGGTAAATACACATGGAAATGCTCTGACCTTGCTTGGTGGGGTCAAGGCTGGATGTTCACTGCCTGAAATTTGATTTTTCTCCCTTTTTTATCCCCCACGTACTTTATCCCAGGTGGGACTCCCTGCTGGGACAGAGGCCAGGTGCATCGTGGGGTCCGGATGGGTAACGGGGGCTGAGCTGAAAGATAAGACAGAGAATTTAGTTTGATCTTACCCCGAAATGAAAACGCTTCTGGTTCCCCACCCAATTAATCAACCCCTTTAAAAAGAACAATGAAAAAATGCTGCATTCACTCAGGTGGAAGCCTTGCATTTTCCTCGGGGGTTTTCACCTGTGGTCTCCGTGGGCTGAGGTTTATTTCTGAACATCATCCCAAAACGGGGGGGGAACCCCACCCTGAATAATTTTTGGCTTTTAAACAGGTTGGTTTTTTTTCCAAGATTGTTTTCTCGGAGAGTGAATGCAACTGGTTTGTCTTCTTGAATGTGCTTTTTTGGGGTTTAATTGGGGCGATGTGGAGCATCCTGAAACTGTCCTAAGAGTTGGGGGAGGTACGTGGCTGGGGGAAGGCTGAGGCAGCACCTAAAAAGTGCCCAAAAATAGGCAAATATTGGAAAAATCTGCACTCTATTTAAAGAAAATGGAGCAGAGCTCTCCTGTAACCTCCAGAAATGACCCAGCCTGCTGACTTTGAACCACCCATGTTAAACCAGAGGTGAAAAATGTAAACTCTCCTAAGCAGAGCTGTTTGATTTCTGTGTTCCCAGCTGGGAAAACCCGCAGGAGAAGTATTTATTATGAAACTTTAAATAAAATGATTTAAAAACATTCACGTTCCTGTGGACACTTAAAAAAATTCATGTAGACCGGCATCAAGTTCTTTCCGTAATTTGCCATTAAATTGTTTTAAATCTTTTTATGGTGAGCTGAGAAGTGACACGAGAACACATACCCATGTGTCTTTGCAAAGGCCATGGAGGATTTAAGTGTGGAGAAACTAAGCCTAAGGGATTATTTTAAGAACATTAAGGATATTATTTAAACTTCAGCTTTTCCAAACCCCACAGGAAAACGTCCCAGAGGAAACCCAGAGAAGAAAGAGGCCCCAGGGCTTCACATTTACGCCAAAATGAGCACTTGGAGCGTGTCAGAGGCACCTGAGGGGGTAACGCACCACAGAGAGGGGGGCTTCAGCACCCTGAGGGGGGACAATCCTAGACAGGAAGGCACTCAGAGGAGACAAGAGACACACAAACTACTTACATACACAAATCTATTTATAGACACAGACATATCGAAGGAGCGAGGGCTGCGCGGGGACCAGCCCCGCCGCCTCAGGGAGGCGCTACCGCCGCCGCCCTTTTATACTTGGCGCCTAAACGCCTCTGCCGGAACTAACTACAGGGGCGCATCATCCCCTTCCGCGGTTAGCGCGACCGTCGCTTCTTGCTGCTATCCTTCCGCTAGAGAAAATACTCCCTTTTTAGAGCTCCCCCGTTCTCGCCGCCCTCCTCCAGGCCCCGGGCGGGGAGGCGGCCGGGGAAAAGAAGGAGGAATCCGCTAAGGCCGCCCCGGGCCCTCTGCGACAGAGCGAGGGGACGTCCCACCCGCCCTTCCTCCGCCGACGGCGGCGGCGGACTCTTTTGCTGCCGCTCGAGGTATCCTTCCGCCGCCGCCTCCCAGCCTCGCTTCAGGGTCGGCCATTTTGTGTGGCCGCGGCGG